AGCTATTAACATAATGGTCATCAGTTTTTATAATTTCCTTTTAGTTCCTTATTTTTGATGTGCATAATATACAATATTTAGATTAACACAGTGTACTTGTTTTCAATTAAATAGGGATTGGCATATGATAATCTCTCAAATTATTTACATGACTCCAGAGGTAGGAATAGACATTAGCAAAATTATTTGACTATAATCACCACAGTTATTCAGACTCTTTTCTGGGAACAGAAATCACCACAGTTGGAGCATACTCCAGCCAGGATGGTTGATTTTTCACATTCACTGGACTGTTAGCATTAGAGAAACACAGTTTCACTCTAATCAGAGAAAGCATAAAAAATAAAAGGTGTCATTACTGACCCACCATTAGTAACACATGCAGAATCTAGGATCAAGAAGGTGTTACTTCCTTTGGAGCCAAGGCTCTTGTTTCCAGTTGGAAGGTACCCTTTGATGATAGAGCCAGCTGCCCATGAATCGATGTACAACCATTTACTTGGGGGTTGGACTAGACTGGTTGAAAAATTAGATAACAGAGAGAGCATAAATAAGCAGACAAGAAGTGTAGACAAGCTAGCCCAATGGCTCAATTTCCTTTCTCACTGAAGATTCTGTGAGCATTTGATAAATCAGGAGACATAGCACATCACCTGCTCATCTTTGCTCTTCTAAAACAGCTGGAGTTTGATGTGACAGCCAAAGGAGAGATTGCTGCCTCGGGAAATGCTTTGCCTTTGACTGATTGCTGAATGGCTGGCAAATTAATTTTGGCACCTTTCCTTAAGTCATTTTGGTCCCATTCCTTCATTTTTCTGCTGGGAAGTGTGTATATTACCTTACAGTTAAAAATACCTACACAACACAAATGTAGAGAACAGCATGTACCATTTTAGGAATGAAGTTGTAGGCTGGGATAGTTCCATTTTGAAGCGTAGAAAAGATGCCGCCATGCTCTGAGAGGAGGCTTGCACTAAAATTAGTGTTACTTCCCATTGACTTCGCACAAGATCATGGGCTCCAAGGTTTAACATTATATGAGTCCTTGGTGAGCTTCAATTCTAGTATTTGCCCCTTAGGTACTGATTGTGCAGCAAATCCTCCCTGCCCCTTCCTACTCCCCCTGCCCAAATCCTAGTACCATTCCTTCCTTATATATTTACCTTGTCATCTCTAGCAAGAGGTGACATGATGGGTGGTTAACAGCACCAACTTAACCTGTCTGTGCCTCAGTTTTATCCTCTGTAAAAGAGAAATCATAGTGACAATAACTTGCTCTACCATTTTTAGATCTCTTTGTTCACTACCGTTTTCTCTTGTGTGAAGCATAAATGTTTTCAACTCCACATATTTTACACGTTTTTTTTTGTTGTTGTTGTTCTTAAGAATGCATTTCAGGGACACCTGGGTGGCTCAGTTGGTTAAGTATCCAACTCTTGATTTCAGCTCAGGTCTTGATCTCAGGGTCCTGAGTTCAGGCCCTGTGTTGGACTCCACACTGGGTATGGAGCCTACTTAAAAAAAAAAAAAATGCATGTCATTACTGCTGACAAAGGAAAAAATAATATGCACTTTAATTTTTGCTTTTTCAAAGTTAAAGATACCATGTTTGAGACTTAGAAAGGTAAACTGTGGTAAGAAATGACAGTTTGAGGCCTTGCCTTGGATAAAGATCGAAGCTCTGCTCTCTGAGCCTGTGGTGTGCTGCTGTGTCCCTGTCACAGTCTAGGGCTCATTCCCTGGTTTTCCTGATGTGATTGGCCTGTTCTTGTCATCAATCTGTCCCAACTTATCATTCTTGCCCTTAGGAATTAAAAGGTCTTAGTATTAATTATAACTACTGATTCTTCTGCTCTTATAATTATAGACATGGATTTAACTTTTTAAATTGTGGTAAAATACATATAACATAAAATTTAGCATTTTAATCCCTTTTAAGTTTGTGTGTATATGTTTGTGTAACACCTTTATCAGAAACCTCAAAAGCATGTTGACTTATCCGGATGGAAACTAGGTTAAAAATATGGGAATCTTGGGGGACCTGTGTGGCTCAGTCAGTTAAGCATCTGACTTTGGCTCAAGTCATGATCTCAGGGTCCTGGGATCAAGCCCCTTGTGGGGCTCTGCTCTCAGCAGGGAGTTTGCTTCTTTCTATCTCTCTCTCTTTCTCTGCCGCTTCCCCCACTCCTATGCATGCTCTTTCTCTCAAACAAATAAAATCTTTAAAAAAAGGATTTGATGACTTAAACAAAAGGTTACGACAATGAATTGAAACCAATCAGTATTTCAACCGTCCCTTTGGTGCTACTATGTCTAGCGTTGTAGATGCCACCTAAGAATCTACATACAGATGTAGAAGAGGCATTGCACTTTCCAGAAAAGCTCTGTATATTTTTCCAGTTATTTTGACATTGAGTTCCTTAGGCATTCTAGATTAGCCATAAAGACAAAACTTGCAGGAAAAAAATATGGAAAAAAAATCAGTAAAAGTCAGATATATCTGGTCAGATATATCATAGTCAGACATATGTGGTGCTTCTTCCAGCAAGGAGAAAAATATGGGAAAATAAATACCGATTAAAGTAAGATTTAATCAGCTGCTAGAATTGATCCTGAGATACTGCATATGCTCAATAAATATTTGCTGAATGAATGAATATCTACCATGTTCAAAACAAACATGAATAGTATTGTTATCTTGCAAAAATGTGTTTCTACTTAGTAAAACTGTTTAATGATTAACCGACAATAAAATTTGGTCCAAAGAGTAGTTCCATTAGGACACACAAGCAGGAAAATACTGACCATAACTAAAAGAACCATATTAAAACTATATTCACTGAGGAATACAACCACAATAATAAATGAGATAAAGGTTCATATTTTCATTTTTTTTTGAAAATCAAGTGCAATTCAATTAACAACATAAACAGCAAAATATAAATGGGATATCTCTGCTAAAACAATGGGCTGACTTCCTACACTTCAAAAATGTAATTTTCCCATAAAGCTCTATCATGAGGATTTAGAATTGGAATATAGAATAGAATCATATAGAATCCTATCCTCATATAGAATCCTATTTACCAATAAAACAAATTATGGTACTATAATGCCCCAAATATTTTACATTTCAGATTATTTACTAATGCAGATTAGGCTTTCTTCAAATTAGTTAGAATTAATGACTTTTGCTTATAAAGTAAAAAATATCTTTTATTTTAAGAGAAAGTTGAAATCTTAAGCTTCAGGGAAATTAAAAAAGTTTATGCTTAGTTAGATACATTGCAGTTAATTTTTAAAATCGTACGGTTTAGCAGTAGAAATGGTTGAGTGACTGTTTTTTAAAGACCCCACTCTGGGGAAGACCAATTTGTCAATAAACAACCCATACCCAGCAGCATTGTGTAGCTAATGTCTAAGGTGTGGGAGTAGGTTAGAAGCAGCTCAAACTAATGAGGTTAACCCACATACTCTAATCATCCAGACTTGCACAAAGCAGACAAATAGCATAGAAGCAGGGAGCATTCCATCTATTTCTAAATGATTCCTGCCATTTTTGTATTCCAGAGTGTCACCAAGTAGATGGTCGGTGTCCATTTTCCACTGTTTCCAAGTCTCTTCCAGCACTGTGTTTCCCCTAGTTAACTGACTAGTGGGCCATAGACAAGATGGGCTTTAATTCAACATCAGCACAAGAAATTGTCAAAAGGCACTTCCTGTTGGCTGGAAAGCAGCTTCTCATCTGCTCCCCTTTGTAGCCTCCAGCAGAGGTGTACGTGGGAGGCTGCAGGCTCCCAAGGACCACACAGCCTGCCTGCCTTGGCAATCCTGTGATCCCTGAGCTCCCAGAGGGGCTCAGCATTCTTGTTATTATTCACTTTATAATTTTTAAAGATCAATTCCAATGTAAAATCCTTCCAGAAGTGCTTAGCATGAAGAAGGTTGTTGGGAAAACCAGTTGAACTTGATTAATTAGGAAAAAGACCACACATTTTAATGAAATCTGGAGTAAGACTTCTCTGAAACTACATTTTCCTTTTTGGGATACTCAAGGTGTGGTTAAAAAAGTATTTTTTTTCCCAAAGTAGATATTTATATATTGTTATACACACACACACACACACACACACACACACACACACTCATTGTAAAAGTCTTCAGAAAGCACAAAAATCTATAGAGAAAAATTGTTTGTACTAAAATAGTGGCTAGTGTTCTGGTATAAAATTTTCTAGATTTTTCTTTTAAAAAAACATTTTATTTATTTATTCATGACAGACACAGAGAGAGGCAGAGACATAGACAGAGGGAGAAGTGGGCTCCATGCAGGAAGCCCGATGCGGGACTCTATCCTGGGACTCCAGGATCATGCCCTGAGCAAAGGCAGATGCTCAACCACTGAGCCACCCAGGCATCTCAGTTTTCTGGATTTTTCTATGGCGTTACAAGCATTCAGATAATTATAGGGTATTTTTTTCAGTAGGGTCGACTATAAACACTATTTAGCAATGTGCCTTTTTATATAATTTCTATATGAACGGATAAGAATTTTCACTATAATTTTCAATTGTTTCTTTGTATTTCATTGAAGAATGTACCATTTGTTTATCCATTTCTTTGCTATGAATAGTTAAAATAGAACTGTTGTGTAAAGGAACACATACTTTAAAATTTGTGTTAATAATTGCAAAATTGCTCTCTAGATCTGTTTTATCTATTTATGTACCCACCAGGATTTTGAGTGAGTGCCCACGCCTCCACACCCTTAGAAACCACACGGAGTAGAAAAGAGTGCTGCTTTAGAGGGGATGTACTAACATTCTATGAGCTTAGGGTGATGCAAGCTTCATGTAGACGGTGTGCTTGTGTTCCTTGTTGCTGAAGATGGTCACCATCACAAAAACTACAGCATTCATTTATTGGCCAGCTGGTAAACTCTGGTTTCCTTTATATAGTTTACTGTCATATCTTGAACCTCCTATGTTCTTCTCTCCTAGATTGAGGAAGACACATGGCAGAAATACTACTTGGAAGGAGTCTCAAATGAAATGTATACAGAATATCTCTCCAGTGCCTTCGTGGGTCTGTCCTTCCCTACTGTTTGTGAGTAAGTGACCATTAACCATGTGCTCTTTGGCCCTCAGGGATATTTTCTGTGGCCCTTAGGAAAGACACCTCACCTCTGCCCAGCACAGTTGAGGTACTCAACAATTACCGAGGGTGTCCTGTGTGCTCTGTCTTGTGTAGAGAGCAGGAAGGTGGGTCATTATGTGGTCCCCACCTTGGGGATTTCTGCTGGCCCTACCTTTCCCTGCAGCTCTGAGAACCTGATGCTTAGATCCATCATTTGCACTAAAATATGAACTACAGTTTTCCTGCATGTCTGGATTATGCTCCTGCTGTGTAGACACAATTATGATGAGTGGTAGGAACCCATGTCTCTGATATTACCAGGATGAAAACAAATCTTGCTATCTCCTTGATGAAAGGAATTTTAATATTTTTTCAGTCAAGTCAGATCATAGAGACATCAGAGAAGCCATTATTCAAAGTGCGTTCATGATTTGCTGAGGAAATGTGGAACCGAGTGTATGGAAGCAGGCTTTGAGAAAGCCCTTAGCGCTTTAGTCCCCGATATGGATAACTAGCATGTTATGACAATGAGAAGTCTTAGCTTCTCCTTCTGTGAGCTCAGCAGGAGGGGTGTGAGCAAAGGGCAGCCCCAGCCTGCTATGGACACTGCAAGTAGAACAGGTGATCATTTAGGAGGTATGACCTCAAGAGTTCCAAGGGTCCTGGCCCTGAAAACTTCCATCATGATGATGCCTCACATTTCCCACTTAGAATCCCAGATGTTGGGTGTAAGTCACACAGGGCCTTTGTCCTCTATGAAAACACAGACTCCCTGGGAATGCTGAAATATTAAGCCTGATTTATTCAGCAAAAGATTTGATAACCTCAGTCTCACTGATAAAGACTGAGATGAAATAGGGGAATCTGGGAGCCCATTGGGCTGCAGAAGAAAAGCTGTTGCCTTGAGTTATCTGGGTGCCTACAAACAAAACCTATCTTCTGGAAGGGGAAGTCTAAAGACAATGTCCTGGGGGCCCTTGGGCTCCTCTGTCTTATAAGCTTTCTGTTCTATGCACAACGGAGAGCAGACAATGGGCCTGGGAGCTTGGTGTTTACCTGGAGACTCCTGTCAGTGAACACAGCAGGTGTGTTCTGTCTCTGGGCCCAGACCCTAAGCAATCCAAAATGGTCTGGCTGTTTACTGAAATTTCTCACCCTGTCTCTAAGCGAAAGTTTAAACGCTAAATGGACTGGAAAAGTGAATAGGTAATTGATTCGGAAGGAGTTATTTTCTGAAAATGGATGCCCTATTGTAACTCCCATGTGCTCCTTTATTTGAGAGCTATTTCTCTTTCTGCTGCAGAAAGGAGTTAACCATTCAGAGGCATTGGGTCCTGGAACATTGAACCTGTCCCAGGGGATTTTTCTCCATCTTGGAGTTTGGCCTGCCTATGATAGAAAGCCCAGGAGAATTCAGGACTTTTAATAGAAGCGAATCCTATGAAAAACAAACAAACAAACAAACAAACAAACAAACAAACAGTTGAGGCCTCCTATACAGTGTAGGGGTGGTCTGAGCTCACTGCAAAGCCACCAATACCCAGAGGGGTCCTATGGCACCGGGGGCATTAGCAGGGGAGTGTGTGAAGACATCCCTCACCTTGGCTTTTGATTTTTCCTGGCTTGGCTGGTGTTTGTCTATTGTAAGTGCTTCCTCAGAAGCCTGCATTCCCACTGCTTCTTTTATTCTGCTCCTGGGAACTAAGTCGGTTCATCTTAAGAGTGTTAACCTGGAAGGTTAGAACCAGTCCCCTAGAAGGTGCCATTGGGATACCCATGAGCTACATTTGACTCACGTGTTTGCCCTAAGCAGTATTTCATTTCTTAAAAATAAGTTGCCAATATTTCAAAATAGTGGGATTTTACTATTTTTATTTCACTATAAAAGCTAGATTTCTGGCATCTCTTGAAAATCTGATGAGGCAACACAGGACTTGCATTTCTACCAGATGCTAACTGGCGCTAGTTTTTATAAGGAAGGGTTTGATGTAGGTCCTCCCCTCTCTGATGTCTCAAACCAGGCCAGACTTGCACTGATATCCTGGCCCTGGCCCTGTAGACACGTGAGTTGGCCAACTCTGACTCACTGGATGATATGAAAACTTCACTGCCCTTTGGAGCCAGCTCAAGAGCTGGACACTAGTGCCTGCTATAGATATTTCCCTTGATTGATTTTCATGTTTAGGACAGTTGCAAGGAGAGAATCTTTCAGACACACTTTGTTGTCAGAGAATTTAATATGTGTTCAGCACAGCTTCTGGAATACAAAAAAAAAAAAAAAAAACTTCTGATGTGAGTGAGAATGTGTTCAACTTAGTGCTATTATTCGTTCAGCACAATGATACAGCAGAGGTAGGAATAATCAATAAAGAAAGGACGTTTAATGAGATTTAGGAACATCCCAAAACATTGAAGCTCTCCTCAAGCATTTGATTATCTGGAGGCTTAATTATCTGTGTTTTCTACTTTAAATTAAAGAAAAGCCATAACTCAAAGTTACCAGCAGTTTAATGATAACACTCTTCAATTCAGGTTAATTAAAGCACAGCCGTAATTAGAGTGTAGTGTTGTATATCACCAGGCTGGCGCATAAGTATTTTCATTACAGTACGAATTGGCTATTCAATTTCAAGATGACAAAAAGGACGCCAAAATATATTTTAAGCTGGTTCATGTAGAAGAAAAAAGAATTGGGGAATATTCTGGGTACAATAAAGCGCAGATAAAATATACAGATTTTCAGAGCAGTTTCTGTAATTATGCACTGCATTAAAACAATATGCAGCCAATAACGTCTTAAAGCATGAAAAGAAATAAATTTGCTCTTCCCCTGGGCTTGCAGAGTGCCCCCTTGCAGGGTGGGATCACTGTGTTGGAGAGTCTGGAGTTTTCTCAGAAGCTGGGAGAGCCTTTTTTTTTTTCTTTTTAAAAAAGATTTCATTTATCTATTTATTTTAGAGAGAGAGAGAATAAGTGGGGTGGGGAGGGGCAGAAGGAGAGGGAGAGAGAAAATCTTAAAAGCAGTTCCATGCAGTGCAGAGCTTGGTCTCACCACCCGAGATCTTGACCTGAGCTGAAACCAAGACTCGGATGCTTAACTGACTGAGCCACCCAGGCGCACCAGGAGAGCCATTTTATGAAAAGATAAAGGAGCAGGATGCCTGGTTGAAATTTGAAGTGGTTTCCCCAGAGAACAGAATGGGGCAGAAGAAGAGGCAGGAGGGAAAGAAGGCCCCCGCAAGGCAAGCTTTTTAAAATTTTTTATTTTATTTTATTTTATTTTATTTTATTTTATTTTATTTTACAAATTTCAAGTGCAGAGATGCTCTCTCCTATCTAGGTGAGACTCACACCAGCTCTATCCCTGGACTTCTCTGCACCAGCCTTTTGGCTTCACTGTGTATATCACCAGAGGATGCAGCTTTGTTCCAAAACCAGTAACTAATTTAGACAAAATGCAATATTCTCTCTAAAATTTTGATTTACATTTTCTCATTTCATCCTCACCCTAATCTTATGGTTTCTATTAATATCACTGTCCCTGGTTTTCAAACAAGGCCACTGACACTCAGAGGATGTTGGTGTCCCTCCAAAGGCACCTAGCACACAAGTGACAGAGCCAGGGTTCTGCTGCTGGGCCTGTGTAATTGAGAGCAGCTTGGAGTAGCTGCTGGATGAAAGCCGGCTAATTAAGAATCTCCTGGGGAGTTTACTAAATGGAGAGATTTCTAGACTCCATCTCTAGATTTCAGTGTCTGGGAGGAACTCCCAAATTTGTACTTTTTATAAGCAAGGCAGGTGATTCTGATACAAAGTCTGATGACTGGAAACCCCTCCCCCTCCCCACCGGGCCTACCCGTCTGCCTCTTAGCTCATCCTTCCGCATCACAGGCTGGAATAAACTCCCCTCATTCCCCACTTTGGGCTCAGTCACTGGAATGTTCCTCTCTGATTTTAGCCAAAGTATAGAAGTATAGGTAGGCCACATTTCACAAGCTAATGTTAAGATTGGGGCCTTTGGGTGAGCTTCCTTGCCATCCTTCCTTATACAGTCTCTGGGGAGGTAGGATGAGTCTACACATCACTACAGCAGGCAAACCACTGACTGCTCTGCCCCTTTTCCTGCCTAATCCCAATCAGTATAGGAAAAAGACATTGGGTACTGAGCCCTGTGATGCTGAAAGCAAGTTGAGGCTGGAGAGAACAGATCAGTGTTAAGTACCAAGAAGCACAGGGGAAAACAGGTACCATTCAGGATGCAACCCTGGAAGTCACATGGCTTTGTGGGCCACCATGGTGGGTATGTCCTGGGCCTGCCCCAGGATGCCCTTAGCATGTTCCTTTTAAGAGCCAGCAACTTCTGAGCATCCCCCCTTCATTTTGCATAGCTGGCTCACCCCTGGGTTTGTGTGACAGTAAGATCGAGGCAAAGGAGCTTTGGGATCTGAAAGAGAATGTGCCATCCATTGTTCTCTCAATACTAGAAAACCACCTGCTCCCTTTGCCTCCCACTCCTCATCTTCCGCAGGGAGGCAAGTGACTATGGAGGGTATGAAAGGCTAATGCCAGGCCTGCAGGAAGCGAGGAGCTGTGGTATGAGGTCATGTTGCCACTAAAGGGTCTTGTTTTCATAGTAGGATGCTGCATGATGTCACACAGTGTGACCTGTGGTATTGCAAAGGCCCAGGCTCAAATCCCTAGGTCAGCCGCTTGGTGAATATGTCATCAGAGACAAGATATTTGATTTTTGCCTGCCTCCTTCCTTTGATAGTGACCCGCTGCCTGGCTTTGGACTTGAGATAGGAATATTACTTATCTCTCAATACTAGCTAACATCCTTTTCTCTTCTTTTCCTACCATCAGTCCTGTCCCATCCAATGCAATGTAAGCTACAGGAAAGAAAGGGACCCATTGTGGCATTTCCAAGCTATATTTACTCTTACCCTTTAGAAGAGCCCTGCATCAGTCAGCAGC